AGCCGATATGAGCTACGAGAACGATACTTGAGCATCTACGCTTCGTTTGCACGCCATTGATGTTTGAGCTTAGTTGGCACCTGTGGAATGCAAGAGAGACCACCGAGGCGTGAGCACGAGCATGCGACGCAGCTTCACCGCTCGCTTGGACGCTCGCACTGCTCAATACGAGATTCGTATCGAAGCAACGCATTGTGCTTCGTCGCATTGGCATCCCCTGAAGGAGATCGCGCTTTTCAAATCCGAGATTCTTCGGTCACACCTGCCTCTTTGTTGGCCTGCACCTTCCTTAGTGTCCAACAGGAGTCAAGTTGTGAGGAAGCTGTGACCATCGTAATAGTGAATGGCAGGTACGACCCATATTGAGGAAGGCACAACCCGTGTTTGGAGGAAGGTAGGCGCGACTCATCGCCCGCGCTAAAGTGGAAGGTACGGCCCGTTTCCATAAGGAGGAAGGCACGATCCTGTGTCTGACATAAACAGAAGGTACGATGGATGGTCAGAGGAAAGCACGACCACGTTCAGCGGCAAGGACGACCTATCTCCACAAAAGGGAAGGCACGACCCATCCCTCGGCCGACGCGGAAGGTACGAGGCGGGTTCGGGAGCAGGTACGACCTATGCTGGGGAAGGAACAATCCGTGTTCGGAGGAAGGAAGCCGCGACCCCTCGCTCGCGCTAACGTGGAAGGTGCGACCTATGTCTGGAAAAAGGAAGGCGCGATTCTGTGTTTAGCTCGAACGGAAGGTGTGATCCATTATGATGTTCCACGGAAAGCGCGACCCACGAATAGCGGCAGGCACGACCCATCATTTGGCCTACTAGATGGAAGGCACAACCCGTGTTCGATGGCAGGTACGACCCATGTTGAGGAAGGTACGATCCGCTTACGGAGAATGGAAGGTGCGACCCTTTTTCTGAAGGAGGAAGGAGAAAGGCGCGATCCTGTATTGGCCTGAACAGAAGGTACGATCATGGTCAGAGGAAAGCACGACCCACGACCAGCGGCAGGCACGACCGATGTCTAGCAGAAGGAAGGGGCGACCCATAGTCCGGGCTATGTGGAAGGTGCGTTCGGTGTTCGGGGGAAGGGACGACTTACACGAGAGTCTAAAGAAGGCACAATCCAGGATATGACCTGTGGAAGGTACGTTTAATGGTCAGAGGGAGGCACGACCGCAATCGAGAGCACACGATCAGGGGGTTGTGATAGCTCAAGAGAGCCTGAACTATGATGTACAGGAACGAGCGGCATAGGCTAGTGTATGCGTCAGGACGGTGTTAGATAGCATGAGGAGGACTAGGTCTAACTACTGAGATGCCACATGCTTCTTCGTCAGCGAGCAGGCGATCTTCCATGTCTCGATGACCTCCTTACTGCACTCCGTCTCCATCTTCTCACGAAGAGCCCGCATCTGCTTGCTATCGTCTTTGTCCGTGAATTCCTGCATGCGAAGCCAGCTGTACACGCCGAATCTTGTCCAGAGCATGTCTGTCCCACCTTTGATCGAACATGCGGCCTTGAGTAGTGCTAGGATGAGCTGCTTATAAGGTTGCGTCAGTACAGGGCTGGAGTACAGGGATAGGACCTTCTCCCAGAGACCCGTGCGGCGATAGAGATCTAGGTCGATCTCGGTGCGCAAACCTTTCAGCAGCAGCTGTAGGAGCCACTCAACTTCGGCGGACCATGCATCTGGGTGGTCGGGTTCTCTGTAGAGAATTGTCTCGATCCAATAGGAGATGACTCGTCTAGCAGGCCATGAGGGCTTCTGTAGCAGAAACTTATTCGCTTTAGCGTAGAGTGTATGTATTGGGTCGATCATGATGCGGAGAAGTGTATCAGCGAGCTCAGGAATGATCACAGGTTGAGGATGTGATGTTCCTTGTTGTCTCAGTGTTTCGCAGAGTTCGCCGAGAACGAGATAGACTTGGTGCTTCTGCGAATGACTTGATGTGGTGTCGACAGTGTGAGTGATTTGCTGGAGAATTTGATTGGTTTGTAACCTGATCTCTTCGTCTGGCGATGCGATGCAGAGAAGGAGCCGGTGTAGGCGATTCGTGTCTACTTCAAGTTCGATGTCGAAATCTGCGGGCCATTTGTCGAGGCCTTGGAGTGAATCGGGTACGGGTGTAGCTTCGTTCAGGAGCTTGTCCATGGCGTTGGTAGCTGGCGAAGCCGGTTTGTCGAGCATATCTGTGTCCTGATCGGCGTCCCTGGGACTTGCCTCCTGGTTCAGCTGCCACTCTTCTTCGAGGGCCATTGGCTTCTTGCGAGTCTTGTCGATAGCATCTTGCAAGTATTCTCTTGGTTTGCCTGTTGAGCCCTTGAGCATGTTTTCCTGCAGATGCATCATGACACGGTAATTCTCCCCTGCTGCATCAAGCAGTGCAAAGAATCGAGCGATCCATGCAGCAATATTCTTCAGCGATGATTTGCTTCCTTCGTACTTCTTGCATGCAAAGCTCCATTGCTCGGCGACTGCACCTGCTACCAGGCTCAGAGACTTCTTATCCGACACAAGCTGAGATGCATGTTCCAACTCATCGAGGTACTTGACTGGTTTCTGGTTCGTGCGAACGACACAGCTGTCGACGAAGAGGTACAGCTCGTCTGTCGGTGAAAACTTCTTCTGGTCTGTGAGACTGCTGCAGAAGGCTGCAAAGGCGCCTTGACCAGGACTAAGGATTCCGCGATAAGTAAGCACCTTGCGAAGAGTACGAAGTATCGTTTTGGCTTCTTCCCGGGATGCGTGGACAAGGACATTCGTGAGTACCCTGATCAAAGGACTAACAGCTTCGTTGTTGGTCTTATGAAGCCATTTCGTTGAGGAGGCGATGCCAGCGATCTGCACGCAATATGACAGTTGATCAAGAAGTGTAGATGAGTCGTTGGTCGAGTCATGTTCCTCTAACGACGAGCACACTTCCGCCATTATTGGACCGATGTCGAAAGTGTTGGTCTCAGCCACATGTGGTAAAGAAGTGTAATACTGCTGTAAGCATTCCAGGAGAGCGCCATAGCTCGCTTCAGCCTTCGAAGCGTGCTGCAGAGCGAGAGACAGATCCCGAGAGGTAGGTATTCTTCCTTCAACCAGCTCGGAGAGCTCGTCAATGCCTTGTTGCCATACATAAGATTTGGCGTTCCCTTCCTGAAATTGTGTAAATGCGTTTAGCACGTCTGAAAGCTTCTTAAGGATGATAGTTAAAAGACGTGCGCCTGATACTATCAGAATGCCGTCTTTCGATGAAAGGAGCTTATTGAGGTAGTTTCGGTCGACAGGCTTGGGGACTATGCTTTCGACTACAACACGAGGTTGTGGCGGGCCGCTGGAGGGTTCGAAGGAGCTCGGGATCTTATGTTCGACGATCGAGAATAAGAAGGCGAAGTGGGCTCTCCAAGCAACGTCCTCGCTATTTGGTGTTGGTAGCTTTTGAGTTTGAGACTTCGAGAAATACTCCGCGACCAGTTCTGGGACCGCTTGAAGTATCTGCAACAACAAAGCAGATTGGAGTGGATCATCATGCCTCAGCTTCGGAATGAACAGTGCTAGCTCCATATTCTGGACTTGCGTTTTCTGGTCTTCATAATGGTACAGAGAGCCCAGACCAAGATCAATATAGTCATCCTCTGCACCCTGGAAGGGAGTAACGGCAGTCGAAGACGTATACCAGCCGCGTGAGGGCAAAAGGACGCCTTTGCTCGTAGTGCAAACCTGCTCCATCAGGCTCTGAAGAGCCTCTCTAACTGCGTCTCTGGCTTCTGATATGTCGTCTTCCACTTCGAACCTGTAGAGGGAGGCAAGCAGGTCTAACCGTCCGGCTTTGAAGAATGAGACGATACAAGCCCTTGGCACTTCTTCCTCATCTACCAATGACGACTTGATGGTCCGTAATAGGTCTACAACAATATCATCACCATCGAGGGGCAGGCCGTGGAGACAAGCATTCAAAGCACGACCTTGGACCAGCATGTCGGCCTTGGCATCTGTGCCCAAGTACTTCAACATGGCGAGGAGCAAACGCAAAGCCATACGGCGAACGGTTGGCTTGCGACGCTCTTCCAATGACTTGTTTGTATTGTGCTGCTCGAGCACAGCCTCGAACTTGTACATGACTAGATCACGGCGTATCCAGAACTCATTTGCTCGAGCGCCAATGCCAAAGCTTACCATCTCAGTCAGAAGACGCAAACATGGCGACGCCAAGTGAGGCTTCGATCGTGGAGCTGAGAGGCACTTCTCGAAGAGCTTCGACTGGTCCCTCTTGAGAAGACTATCAATGAGCGCAAGACCAAAGGGCTGAAATTCGAGAGTCTCAGACATGGTTTTCAGCAGTTGCGCCAGAGCTGCTGGTACAGCTGAGATGATTGCCTCTGCATTGTTGTCGACCGCAAAAGACCATGTCGAGAGCAGGTCAATGAAATGAACTTGATCATCTGATGGTGCTTTCTGCCATTCACAATACTCCTTCAGTAGTCGGAGTTGTCTGGACTGCTGCGCGATGTCTTCGGTATGGGCTATAGAAGCCAAGTGGTCTTTGAAAGCAGTCAGTCGAGATTTGACCGACGGATCTGTGCTTTGCTGGAATTCGGTCCATGAATGAAGCTGGTCAGCGCGTGTTACAGGTATGCTGTTCAAACGGTTATGTTCGTCTAGCTTCTGGCGCTTCGGTGGTCTCCCATCATGATCGTCCATCGCCGTCAGTAGAGGGCTTCAATTCCCCTGCCAGCCGAAAGGTTCCAGGTTGCGCGTTGCGACTCGAATCATCTGCTCGCGAGGCTGCCACAAAAAAGTTTACGCTTCCGGGTGTAGATCTTATCGATAGGAAAGCCCGAAGAGGAAACGGCAGACGAAAACAATCGCTTACGACTGAAGCAGGCTAAAAAGGATCGAGCGCTAGTTCGTCTAGCTCTTCTCCAGGCCACAAGGGCCACCTAAAGCACAGCTGCAAAAAAAGTTCGAATTGAATAAACCATTCACATGGTTTGCAGTAGACAATTGAGGTCGATCGCGGATTCGAACCGCGGTTACCGGAAGGTATGAAATTGATATCAAAATCCCTGAGGAATCGTTAATATAGGCGCCAGTAACGTCTAAAGTGAAAATTGCTCACGGTGTGATAACCACTACACTAAACGCTAATCCTCGAGTCAGCGTGGTCGTCGACGTATGAGTTCAGATGAACCTACACCGTAGAATGTTGTGTGTGTATTTTGGCACGAATTTTAGCCGGTCAAACTTATATCAGCAACATTGAAAGCCCGGAGAGAACTCCGTACGATAGCTGGAGAAGTAAGGGGAGCGAGCAAAGCTTCCGATGCAGTAGTTCAGTCAAAGATTACTTGACACTGTGACCCGAGAGCTTGATAGGCCTTTGATAGGTTGAGCCAGTATGCTCGGGACTCCCGGTTGAGCCTGAAGGACACTGAGCCGATGAAGATGACCTCTAGGAGCGGCTCCGGGGTCCTCGGGCGTGAGCGGGCAACCGAACTTTTGAAAGTGTTTGCGAGAATCGGTTTTCGTGGTCTGCTGTCGGGCACTGCTCGAAGTAGTCACGTGATTATGTCCGCTAGTAGTTGCGCAAGGCTTGACATTATCAACGTCTACTTCAATTCTTAAGCGCTTCAAGTCGAGTTGTTGCAGGCAACAAGAGAAAGCACATTAATTGCAAGCTGCAAATTCTGGGAGAGTTCAAGCGACGTCGAATTCCAGCCACGTGATTCTTCGGAATCTGCAAGATCTGCAGCAAGTCGCTCCTTCCTGTGGTAACAATCGCAACTTCCATTTCAACGACGAACGACATCACGTCAGAAGACCTCCTCAAGCTCTATCATCCATTCGTACACACCTGAGTTAGCTGCAATCCTGCAATACGAGTACAGTCTACAGGCAACACTCAAACCACAAACGTACAACAACCACAACAACCTCAGCCATGCCACCCACACCCTCTTCAAACCTCCTCCACGCCCTCCGCCGCCTAACCCTCACCAACACCCCCAAACGCACCACACCCCTCCACCCGACCTTGCGCCTGCCCACCCAAACCAACCGCACATTCACAACCACCCCATCCTTATCCGCAACCCTAAACCAAGTCCGCACCCGCGGCCGCACCACCCAAAAAGCCCGCCGCCCACGCAGTCCCGCCACCGTCGGCCGCCCCTCCCTAAAAGGCGTCTGTCTAAAAGTCGGCATCACAAAACCCAAGAAACCGAACTCCGGACAACGAAAAACAGCAAAAGTTCGCTTGTCAAGTGGAAGGGTGATAAGCGCGTATATACCGGGGATTGGCCATAATGTGCAGCAGCATAGTGTTGTTATGGTTAGGGGGGGACGGAGTCAGGATTGTCCGGGTGTGAGGTATCATCTTGTTAGGGGGGTGGGGGATTTGGGTGGGGTGGTGGGACGGGTTACGGCGAGGAGTAAGTATGGGAGTAAGAAGCCGAAGGCTGCGGCGATTTAGGGGGTTGACTGAGGGAAGAGGGAGAATTGAAGGGGTGAGGGAGCATGGAAGGGTCGCTATGGGGATCTGTGGGATTCGGACGGGACTGCATTGAGTGTGGAGCAGCATCACGGTAGGCGCAGTCGTCTGTTTCCGTATCCTCGGCTCGGTCTGGCGAAGCGCACACCCAGTGGAAGGACAGATGTGATACAAGGACGAGGAGCTACTGCTTTGCATGCTACAGGAGAAATCGTGTGAACTATCAAATCAGGAAGCTGGAGAGACCTGAAGAAGCAGAACAGCATAGACCTACGGCTGAGCCCGAGTAGCAGCCGTAGACGTTCGGGGCTTTTTCAATTCTAGAAATAGAGCTCAACAAGTGTGTATCATTGTGTATCAGACATCAACTCAGGGCAAGCGCTATCCATGTTTACCTGCCCGAAGCATGCACGATCGGTTCTTACTTCCATTCTGGAGCATGCAGCAGCTAACGGAAACAGCAGGTGTGTACTCAGTATAGAACGTCAAAGCGCAAGATATGCATGACCGTGCGCTGCCGAATCAAGCAACAGCGTCTTCATAGCCCAAGCTTTGGTGAGGGTCGAGAAAGGCCTGTACGGGCATGAGGGAGAAGCAGGATCTGTCGCAATTCAATCTACTGCTGTACGCCGGCCAATGCATGCTAATACAAGTTTATACGCTCCTGCGTGCTATGCAGCACAAACCTCAGTCCATATCGTGTACATCATTCACCTCTTCTCCAGCCTCTCCCCAGCTCTCGCCAGAAGGAACGGATCATCCTTTCTCACTTCTCCCACCCTCATACTACCCACATCCACCTCTTGTGTACCACTCTCATGCCATGCAGCTAGCCTCTCCATCGCAGAGAATATCCTTCTCCTTAGGACAGGTACCTGCAAGATCACCACCACAAAAACAGCCGTCCCGATCAAACTGATAAAAAAGTATTTTACAACGTAAGACCAGAAATTGTCCATATTGGGGCCCGAGTGTGGCTATTGCTCCTTCTCCCAGCCAGCCGGTTTCTCAAGCTTGTTTAAGTCGAAGAACCGGCTCGTACAGCTGTAACCCTTCCAATCGAAGTTGTTTTTCGGGTCGCAATGACATTTCAATTTCAGCCGTGTCTCTTCACCCGTCGGACAATGCGTGAACGGAACGTGGTAGTATGCGATATCGTTGAAGAAGTGAATTTCCGACTTATCGAGGAGAAGACTGGCTCCAATGGAGTGAACGGGTGCATCGCCCCATCGTTCGTAGAAGAACCCGCCATCTTTGTCAAGTGCTTCGAAGAAGTCGACGTATTGTTTCGAGCGGAGCCATTCGAGGTTACCAATTTCGAAGTTGGACCACTGGACAAGTTAGCAGGAATTCGAGATAACAGACGATAGACTTACGAAATGGCACTTGTTGTAAGTGTCACCTCCATCATCGCTGATGAGCGCCAGCGAGTTATCTTTGGCGATGTGCTCTGGGTGATTCTTCATGAACTTCTTGACACTATCCCATAAAGTTGGAATAGTCTCGACATATTCGTACAAGCTGATGACGAAGCTGTACTTCTTCTTGTTGTCTCGCATGAACTTGAATGGGTCGTAGTTAACGTCGCAGAAGAGCTCGACGCTCGGCTCAACCCTCCAGTACCACTCATAGTTCATCATCAGAGGTTGTCTGAAGAAGAAGCCAGACTCGAATCTGCACATGTGTCGGTAGGAAATTGAATCACCATAGATGATCTTCCGTTGTGCCATATCTTCTCTCACTTTCCTGGCCTTGTCTTGATCGATCCACGATGGGAAAGACCAGTGCTCTTCCTTGATCTCTCCGTAATGTGTCTTGCCGGAAACGAGAGAGCTTGTGACCTTCTTGAAAGTCTCATCAAACGGCTTGTCGTTGAGGAAGACCCAGTCGTAGTGGTAGTTCCTGTTAAATCTGTCCTCGACTTGTCGGATGGAACGTGCTATTTCCCACAGATCTGTATTTCTGGCCAATGTTACGAAGGTCGCATTCATCTTCTCACTTGGACCAGAAGATGTGAGGTCGCCATGAGTGCCATATTGCGGGTTCGGCGATGTGGGTTCGGCGGCAAGACCGGTCGTTATCTGTGTAATCACATCGCCAGAAGCATCTGTGGTGGTCACTGTTTCTTCATGCGCTCCTTTCAGGTTTCCCAGATATTTTCCTGCACTGTCCCGCAAGGGTTCCGTGTAGGTGGGTAACGACGAAGTCGAGATTAGGTATATAACAATAATGCCCTGATACGGTTAGCAAGCGCATAGCTGTGTATTCTTGACATACGAATATGGCGAACAATATGTAACGAGCATATCGTACATTGCCTGTCGCCATGATGGCGGGCTTCGATGAGGAAGAGTCGTTCTCTTGTTTTGATTTCACACGTGCATGTGTTGGTAAAGTAGGTGAAGATGGTTCAGGGTCGTAAAGTTGCGACTTTTCGTCTTCCTCGTGTGGTCGCATTCAGCGAAATGGTGAATGTAAGACGGAAACGGAAGAGGTCGAGGAGCAGGCTGACTTTCCACGGATTGGGAAGATTGCGTAGTACAAACGTATGTGTTTGGAATAATTTTGAGTTTGATGTCTCCTAGGCAAGAACCACAGTCATTTCACAGTTTGCGCCAGGTGCGAGTCAAGAACACAAGTGGTGAAGAATAGTGGACAGGTTCGTTTGTCGCAGATGCCGCGCAAGCACGAGCAGTTTAGGGGTGCAGCGCAATCATGTTGCCATCAAGAACACGACTTGGTCGACATGCAACACGAGTTTAAGGTTTCCGTACCCCTGTCTAGGTGTTTCTGTATTTATTCAAGACACGATTGTGAATGGTTGAAGGAGGCATTTGACTATGGTCTGCGTTGAACGGCGTCTTGATCTGGTGTGTTTCGTGATGCGGGACCATGTCATCGACGCTTAACCCGGACTTTGGTCTTGGTGCTCTACTTCAGCCGTCTGGCCCGTGCAGCCCGTGCTGCAGCGCTCTTGACCCCTAAACTGTGGCTTGGCTTTGCATGCCTCAGGCCTGACAGACCCTTAGAACAGCTAGCCGGAGCCTGGTCGCCCTGAACCGAGACGTCACTAAATATCACAGGCGAGGCCGAAAGTGTGCTCAGATCGATGAGGAGCACCTCACTGTGTTGATCACAACAGCTTGACCTCTACACTTTTCAATACTGTCATTCACTGGCTTCTCTGGCAACACTACTGATTTGGGCAAACAAGCCATTGCGACATACAAGACATTTGGACTGCGACATGAATTTCTCATCATCTGAAATCCATTTATAACGTACTCGACCCCTCTCTTGTGATCCTCGTCAACAGCATTAGCTACTACTATGTCGTTCTTCGGGTTCGACTCTGCGCTGCCAGGCGACAAGCGCGGAGCCAATAGCAACAAGGGTATATTCGAGCACAGTGATGCCTTCGGTGGCCTTCAGCAAACGAGAAAGTTGCAAGCTTTTCAGAACAACGAAGACGACGTGTATGTTTGCGAAGCATGATCTTACTTGTGCAATGCTAACTCACGTAGCCTCGACTTCGATGATACCTACGACGGATTAGCCGACCAGCTGCAAGAGGCAGGAGATGATTTCAACGATGACACCTTCGGTGGTGGCGCTGAAGGACCTGGTGCAAAGGATGCCGCTGGTAAGGACTTCG